TATATATATATGCACATCCAGGATCTCTTCTCTCCATCTCTCCAAGGCGTCACTTTCGTTCACTTTCATGTTTTGGTGAAAGTGCTTTTAGGGTATGGGGAGGAGCGGGGTGTCTGAAAATTAAGTATTAACCTTTGTTGGGATTTTTTTTTGTCCTCCATTTTTTCTGTACTTGCACCGTCCATGATTCTTCCAGCACAGGGTACTCTCAATGTGTTGATACTGAGGTTCCATTCAATTCAGAAAATGTACTTCTTGAATAAAGCCAGTGAATGTGTGTTGGTGGGAGAGGGGTCCATCTTTGCTCCATCCATCATTGTGAAATGTGTTTAGCACACAGATAGTGAACACTCGCATAGTTAAGAATGTACAGAATGAGCAGTTTTTCAGGTCCCAAATTTGTTCTTGTATCTTTTTATTCAATACATGCTCAAAGCGAAAACGATTCGTACATTGCGAAAAGTTTTTAGTGTCAGAGTAAGAATAAATCTAATTACACCTGACTGCATGCACAGAAGAATTGTAATTGTAAATGGGCTGATTTATCTATGTCATACTCATAACTGTGCCTGAACTGCAACAGGGAACTGCTGCTTTTTCTTTCCTAATCCTTACTATCGTCATTTTCCTCTACTTCTTTTGTATGTTTGTCACACTCTTGTGACCCGCTATTTCCGAGGTGCTTTGATAGTTGAAGCAGACTTTGTACTTTGTGTTGTTGAAGCTAGAGAGGTGAGCAGAGTAAGCTGTTGACATCTATCCCTTGGCACTCATATGACCTTATGCAGTTGCAAGCTCTGTAAAACCTCTACTTAAAAAAACAAACAACCTGACCTCTACTTTCATGTACCGAAGAATTAGCTGTGGTTCGAGGTGGGGTGAGGCAGGCACGGTATGAGTATAGGATTAGGCCAACGGCCTCTCTTTAAGAAGATGGCAATATAGTATAGGCCAAGGACATGTTATTGCGTCGTACGTCACAGAAGTGTTCTGTCAGTGGAAGAACTACCCTGCATAGTTCAGTACGTCTGGAAATCTACGTTGGCATGAAGGCAGGTATCTGGTATTGTCCATGCCTGTGTCAGTGCTCTTTCCTTTCAACACTGATAAGGCACTGCTCCACAATTGGTCGGGGATTTGCAAAGTTATGTCTAGGTGAAATTGTAGTGGACCTTCGCAGACTAAAAGGAAAGAACGGCTTCTTTATCGAGGAAAAATGGCTGAGTATAGCGTAGGGGGCATCGTTCATCATGTAAAGTTATGACCTGATTGACCAACTTTGTCTGTCTCGCTTAAATATTATGACCCAGTATTTGTACATAGGGAAATTTGTACATATAATGAAAAGATTTCTGCGTCCTGCCTGTTACTTATGCTTGCTAGACTACTTTTTTTTAGCCACTCGAGACTTTTATAATTATCCAAGCCACTGTCTCAACACATTAGCATCCCCCTGACACCCCTTTCCCCCACACACACAAAGACATGTGTACGCCCTTACACAGATCCTTCCTATTGTTTTATGACAGGACTTTGCACTTGATGTTCATTTCTATTCCAGCTGTAAATATATATAATTATAATAATAGTATTGATGTAATATATATATGTGTATATATAATATATATGTGTACAGTCAAACCTGTCCAAGACAATAGCAAGGGAGCCTGAAAAATATCCCACCTTTAACATTTTCCATCATAGTAGGGGAAGTGCTCATATGACCTAACGCAGTTGCGAGCGCCGTAAAACCCTACACTAAACTAAAATAGTTGGGGAATTTAAGAGGGGGGGTTGTCACTGCAAATAAGTAAGTCATGGGTGGATGTCTTCAGAAAGAGATTGACAGCATTTCTCTTTGGCCTTTTTGCCAGTGCTATATTGAGGTATCTGCTACATCACTGCACACAATTTTCACGTCTTTCCTCAGGGCTTTCTTGTCGTATCTCCATTTTTAATAACAGGGAAAAACAGTTCGTAACTAAAAGCGAGCTTTAGACGAAGTCACATTTTTTTCTATGGTTAAAAAAATGGAGATATGACAAGAAAGCACTGAGGTCGAGGAATGTTTAACGAGTGGTATTGAAAGGCAAATCAGTCTTGGAGTGCTTGGCTTGCAAGAAAGATATTTTATGAAAGTTGTGGTTTGGGGTCACATTCCCTGTGAATTCATGGGGCCAATTACTGGATTTTTAAAATTATGTAATGTGCTCAAGAGTTCATAAAATTTATTTATAAGTTTTAATGTTTATAAAATTACAAAGTGGGTTGTTGGCGGGTGCTATGATGTGGTTTGCTCCTTATCTCTCACCCTCCTATTTGTATGTTACTCTGTAATGACACCTCTAATCTTTGGCATTTAGTAACCTATTTGTGTTGCAAGTACTGTAAGACTTCTACAAAAACCAAATACTAAATGAACTAAGTTGATAAAGAAATTCTTGTATTGCTGGCCAGAATACACATGATATATCATAATATATATGTTGCATCGTGGTGAAATCAGTCGCTCATTAAAATTATAATGAAATCGAAGAAACTGGCATTTTTTCCCCGCCGGTTTGGGAATTTTTATAGAAAGTTTTTTTTTCTTTTTTTTTTTAGCTCAGCACCTTTTATGTCCATTTAAAAACACATTTCTGTTTGGATTTTACTGTGGGGGGGGGGGGGGGGGGGAATGACCAATATGTGCGAGGGAGAGAAATGTTGTCGTGTTGTGTTGATGTTACCTTGCCTATGCAATTCTGTATTTTTATACCCGCTCATTCCCTGGCTCTTTGGAAGTGATCCTTCATTGGGGTTTTTCTTCTTTTTTTTTTTCATTTTATTTATTGTGTTCACGGCTGCTTTTTTTTTTTCCCTCTAAGTAGGCTCCTATTGTGTAATTACCAATGTACAAAATCTCCTCATAGAGGCTGCTGGTAAAATGTTTGTCAACTCTCAGTTTGCTTTGCGCTGTATGGATATGTATGTAGTATGAATGAAATTCATCACATTGGGTGTGATGTGTGGACAGAATCCATAGTATTGTTCATGATTTTAACATAATATATGATTGGATCCCTGATGTAATCCATTGTATTGGATGTGCTGTTGACATGAGACTTGTATGTGTGGATGTAATCCGTTGCATTTTGCTTGATATTGGAGTGGAGTTGTTGGCAGTATCTTTGGTGTAGCGGTTATAAATGCTTCACTGTTGTATGCAGAAGATGGTGTAAGTTGAGTTCCTTAAAAATGGGGAGGGTTTTTTTTAATCAAGTGTCTCCATCTCTGCTGGGATGTTGTATCTTCCTCTGCCGATGTTGTCTTTGACAGGCATGGTTGTAGTTGAGGACACCCCCACCCCCACACTCACACACACACACACACACTAACACACAAACACCCCCGGCCCCTGCTCCTAAATGATTAAATAGCCTATAAACTTTGTCGATGGGGGTGTAGAACGTAATAATATATATTTATACAATTACTTTAAGTGACTAAAAGTTTTCTTCTTTCTTTCACTTTCTTTCCCTCTGTTGTTTCTGTCTGTCTGTCTGTCTTACTTTTCCCCCTGCACTTAATAACTGTTGTTGTTGTAATTGTGTGCTTTTCTTCACAACTCAAATCCACACATGATATATGTTTTTAGATAAAATCTGTTGCATAGTTGGCGTGTATTAGTATTATAATGCATGTTTGGAAAGAATCCATTGTGTTGCAGAAAACTCATTGGATTGATCTCGGTGTTGCAACGGACTTGATTGTCCCCCACTGTTATGATTACATTCTCTGTTGTTGTTCTTGTTGTTGTTGGCATTGCTTTACAGAGACAGAGCACCACTAACCATTGTGTGGGCTCTCCTCAGTTCCCTGTTATTCGTCTGCCAAGTGTGCATGAAGGTATGCAGGACTTGTGTATGAAAATGTCTCTTGAATAAAAGTTGACGGTTGATTTCAGTTACTTCTGCTGTTTTGAAGATCTGTTTTTTTTACCATTATTGTGTCTATGTGTTTCTCTTTTCTCAGACAAAGGAACATACAAGCTCTCTGCGCTTTACACACAGGCCTCTTTTCTTGCATTTATTTAACTTGTCGCTGATATGCGCTGGTCATGAAAATGCTACTTGTATTCGTTTTAGACTTAGGTCAATATTTTGTTTGAAAATTGGAATTAAATTTTAAAATCGTGTGGAAAGCTTCAAAGGAAGTAAACTACCTCGGCCTGTTGGCAAAATATCTGGCTTCCCCGAAATCAGCGTGATGACCAAATAAAAGGAGACTGTAATGATCTAATACTTATATTGTATGTGAGGACCAAAAATACCAAATGAAAGGTCTGAAGCGACCCGATGATTGACATGTATGGGGTTCAATTTGTAATAGCCCAGCTTCTGATCTGGTAGAAATTTTCATTTTGAATTTACGTAAAATTCAGTTTAAGCTGTTAGTTACCGAACATAAAGTTGGTTGCTAGTCGTTTTTCCCCTGCACATGGCAATCGCGCTAGTCAGATCTATCGTCTAGATGAGTCAAGATGGGCCACAATTTGTCTTTATAGTGCGGTCAAGAATTGGTGGTGGGACTTATTGTCAAATATCTCCTCTACTATCGAACAAAGGTTCTCCAATTTTTGCACAGTGACTTGTATCAATTTGTCTTAACAGATCAACATTTTG